TTACCTGACATTATCACCCACTTTTACAATCTGACATCTGTTTTATAGATAGCTTTCAAATAATTTCGTAGTAACACCTCAGAAATCGATATACTCAAGGTTTTACAAAAGGTAACTGACAATGTTGAACGTCCTTGCTAGATCAATGAGTATACATAAGGGTCTATTATTTTCGAATGCATTATATATAGGTTTTAGTAAAGTAAATATAGCGTCTTGAGTGGATACATTTTCACTGAATCCGTATTAATTAGATGAAAGAATGTTAAATTTATTATAGGAACAAGTTAACCTAATTTTCAAGAGTTTAAAAAATATTTTCGAAAGACGATTTATTATTGAATTACTACCTACATCTTTGCCCCCTTGTTTATAGATTGATTTTGTAATGGTATTCTTAAAAGTACTTAGATACGTGCTTAGAAGTATACAGGGTGTCCACACTTATCGGCGCACTATTGCTAACTCTGTTATTATTGGAGATACGAAATCAATTAAATTAGCAAACTAGTACCATTTTTCCTATTGATTCTGATGGTGCAATCGAAAAAACAATTGAGCATCGCGTTTTCGTAATTTTTTTAAAAAACATGTTTTGTTTTTAATTTTTAAAAGAAAAAAATATTGTGGACAAAAAAGTATTAACAGAGTTATGTATAACTCTGTTCAATTGAAAAATAAATGAAAAATTGGCATCTTTTTCACATTTATTTCAATAAAATGCATGTCAGTAACGTCAAAAATGTAAACTAATTAGGTTAATAAATGTTCAATACATTTCTGAGCCTTGTGATTACACTGCCGTCAATGCTTCCCAAAATGTTTGTAATGCTATTGCTTCCCAAAATGTTTGTAATGCTATTTTCTAATTCTAACACATTATTGTATTGCTGTCTATACACTTTATCCTTTAAATAACCCCATAAATAGAAATCCATTAGCATTAAATCAACTGACCGTGCTGGCCAACGGATTGGTGCCACTGTCCCCATCCATTGTTGCCCAAATATTGTATTTAATAAGTTCTGAAATAATTATGGGCGGGTGCTCCATGCTGCTGAAAATATACATACGGACGATCAATTAGTGGCATGTTGTCCAAGAAATCATCAAGGACTGGCTCTAATAATTCGATAGATCTTTATCCTGTTAATGTTCGATGATAGATACTAGGCCCGACAAATTGCGAACCAATCAAACCGCACCAAACATTTAAACTACAGCGGTTTTGTGGATTACGTGGATCCCCTGTTATAGGATTTTCTTGACTCCAATAATGTTGACTGTGTTTGTTTCACATTCCAGAATTTGAAAAATTAAATTCATCGGACCACAAAATGAACTTAATTATTTGGACGCTGATTAAAAAAATTTAATAACCAATTGCAAAAAAACAATCTTCTTTCTGTATCTACTGTACCTTCTGTATCTGTATCCAGCTACGAAAAAATGAGTACTTTCACTCAAATATAGGTACCCCTTAAATAAATTCTTCACGAAAATTCGTATTTGGTGCACTTGTACCTAAATCAGAGTAAATGTCCTCATTACTGAGTGATCCCACCCATTTTCATATTCACAAGAAATGTGTGGCGTCATACCGTAGAAAATACCTTATAACTCAGAAACGGTGCGTTGAATCGAAAATAATTCAAAAAATCTCCCCAACATATCTGGTTCTGATTGTCCGTTCTGCGTTGAATGCAAAAAGTCCAAAGATCGTATGTCAAAAAACAAAAAGTTAGTCAAAAATTGCAACAGCAGTAGCGAACGCATTATGTTATCTCTGTATATTAATTTCGAGTAATTTGAATGCTGTTTCTGTAATCTCGACCACAGTTAATAGGAACCGTTAGATGCTCTAGAAAAGCGTGATCGCCAAAGTCGGCCAATGTCTCAGCTGGCGGATCCTTGCCAGCAGTCAGCGGGTACCAGCCAGGAGGCCAGAACAGGACAGGAGGAGGCCCCGCGAAGTGAATTAATTTCAACACTGTATATCTTAATTAATCATTTATTTTTGCACTCGATATTTTTAGTTAATTAAAAACCAAGTCTGAGTAAAAAATGACTAAATAATAGTTAAATTTAAATCATATTAGAAAGAAAGTGAACTCTAAATTGGTTTTATATACTCAGAATAGAATCGAATGTCACTCAATTGATAGTTAACAGTGACTCGGATTTGAGTATGTTGAAAGATACTCAAGTTACGTAAACAAAAACATTCCCATCCTGAGATACTAATGCCTACTTTTAATATGTTTATATTTCACAAGCCCAACGGCCCTAGCTCATAAATTAAAATGCTTATAAACATACGGAGGTATATTGTAGCACTAAGCTTAAGAGAGAATTTTAGTTTTTATTCTGATTTGATACAGAATAGATGTGATATCTGAATAAGTGAATAAACAATATCTTTTAATTATTAAAGTGTTTTAGTTCTACCCATAATCCTAACAGAGTAAAACTCACTCATTTATGATACAATAGTTTTACTAAGTTGTACTCGTACTAATAGAGTGAAAATTTCAGTCATTGGGGTGTGGACAGAAATTGGTACAACATTGAGTGAAATTCGAGTGAAATTTTTTTAGTGTAGCTTAATTATTTTTAAAATATCTTTATAATTTTAAAAAATATTGTCTACTTGGTTGCATGTCGGTAATATTATAGTGATCGTACAGAATTTTTTCTGCAAATAAGGTATGCCTCCAGCATTTCACATTTTTCTAAATGACTAAACGGCATGCTATAAGCTAATAATACCGGAATATTACTAATAAAACGTAAATAGGTTGCACGGACTAGTGCATACAACAAGTATCCAACAAATTGTTAACTTGACAGTTGTTGTCACTGAAAGTTGTTACAATTTAATTTTATTGTTGTCACAGCACTTTCAGTTTTTTTTTTACTGTTTACATTTTAGACGTTACTGACATGAATTTCAGATGCCTATTTCTCATTTATTTTTCAATTGAAGAGAGTTATATACTAATACTTTTTTGTTCACGTTCACAATAATTTTTTCTTTCAAAATATGTAAATATATACAGGGTGTTCCATTAAAAAAACGTGTTTTTTAAAAATTATGAAAACGCGATGCTCAATTGTTTTTTCAATTGCACCATTAGAATCGATAGAAAAAAGACTTGGAGTGTAGCCAGTGAATGATTTGAATTAAAATGATCTCGTGCGTTAACACAAACGAGGCAAATTTTAGCGTAGTGCTGAATACCTAAAATGTTATTCGCAAAAATAATTTTTAGTAATTTATATATTCCTTAAACAAATATGGTAATGTAGAACTGAATCGGAACTAGGTATCTGAAGTTATGGAGATAGGGGAAGATAATGTAAATAAACCAAATATTACCCACCCAAAATGTTGGCAAATATTTGCGATTATTTGAAAACGTTGGCAAACTTAGTTCTACATTATCGGGTATAGAATAAGCATGCAGGGTAAAATAATGTATTCAAATATTTGATATTTGATGTTTTGTTAGATATCAACGAAATTTATATGTTTGCACAGTCTATGCATTTCTTGATGACGTGACTCATTATTCTTTGCAAATGAAATTTTGTCTAGATAGAATAAGGTTAAACTGAATTACCAAATAGGTTAGCGACGTATGAATAGATATAACTTAATATGCAAGTTGTCCCATCCAACGTTCACTGCTTCATAATTAATTGTGTTGTTAGGCATTAATTTTTAAAAAATCCCTTAAAAGTTAAACCTATCACAAATATTTTTAGTAATAGACGGTATTTGATCTGAGTGTCAGGCAACTTTAATTATACGTTATCTACTGCATTTTGAATAATTCAAATAATTTTAGAGACCATAATCTTAACTTCATATCTTAAATGATTCGTTTTCAAGATGCTCGGGACACTTCCCGTACTCGAGTCCGCGGTTGACGTGGCTGCTCGGACTGTTGGAACTGTTGCTGACGTCTGGTTCGTGAACTGGACTACTGACGACTGGATCAGGCGTTCTGCTCTGGATCTGCGGCGTCGTGGCTGCACTGGGACTGGATTCATGATTTTTTGGCCGAACTTGGTCAGCTGGCACGGCGACAAGAACGTAAATCGCCTTGATTTGATGGTTTTCTGTTGTCGGCTCGTTGCTCTGGCATGGGCTCTGGGTCGGCTGGGACAGCGTCTCTGGCCTTGTTCTCTCTGAGCTGCTGCTCTGGCGTAGTGTCGGTGGTCTGGTTTGGATTTGTTAACCAGGGCCATGTTGTGGCCTAGGTCTCTGGGCTCACTGTTGGCTCGGCATTGGCTGCTGCAAAAGAGCTGACGATCGCACTGACCTAGTGGCTCTGCATCTGCTGCGGTGGATCTTGGCCTAGGCTGTCTGCAGCTTGGACCTGGCTGTGATGGCTCGACCGGAAGCGGTATGTCACCTTGACATTGTTGCTCTCTGGCGGCTGACTGGCCTGGTTGTGGGGGTTGTGGTTGGTGGTGGTACCACCGGGTTATGGTTTTACCATGACCCGAGAATCAGTAGTCAATTCGTATTTCGTATGGCTCTGTCACTATCTAACTTAACTGACGACTGATGACAGCAATGGCGCTGTTTCTTCGCTGTCTACGATGATTTTGTAGAGTCCCCGGCACAAAGCGATTTGTGCTTATTTTACAATTTTAATGCAAAATCTCTGGTTCGGTGACAGAAATGGTATGTGAAACATCGAAATGTTGCAGGTACTGTGGCAAAAATTGTTTTTTTTCTAATTTCTGTTATATATGTTCTGTTTATAATTTTAGATCAATTATTGAAATCGGAAGTATAAAAATTATCATTTATCTTTTTATGGTCATATTAACCACCAGCTGAAAAATGTGAAAATATTATAAAATATTATTATAACAAAAAGTTGTATTTGATATTATCTAAACATCATGATTACTTTATGAAAAATAAAAAAAAAGTTTGCCTCTGACATTTATGATTTATATATATATATATATGTGTTGTCAAGATGTTTCCGGGTTCCTCTCCGCGTATGGTTTTCTTGATTCTGGATAGAATCGTGTTCTGGATAGAATCGTGTTCTGGACGACGTTTCGGCAAGATCACACTTGCCATTTTCAAGTCTTCTTTGTTCTACTTCGTGTAATACGTTGTGAACGTGTGTTCAGAATTTAGAGCAGAAACCGATTTCGAGCTAACCAAGAAGAAACAAAAAGAGAAATTTGAAAGACTGCAAATTGAACAAGCTCCTAAGAAGACCCCAAGACTAGATCCTTCAAGAGTGGTCTGCAACCTCTCTAAGATAACCCTTGACGAGGCAACAACCAGTGTTCTAGCGAAGGGCTTCAACTACGCTGTAACACCGACACATATACCAGTAGAAAACATCATATGTGGAGTAGAAGCATCTATTACAAATATAGAAGCCAACACCGCCGAAGCTATCCGCCAAGACGTATCCCACATCCTAAGAAGAGCAAGACCTCCAAAAAAGAATTTAACGTACGAAGAATCGCAAGCACTACGTAATCTCCAAAAAAACAGGGATATAATCGTACTCCCAGCAGACAAGGGAAATACAACTGTAGTAATGGATATTGAAGAATATGATAAGAAGATAGAAACCCTACTAAATGAGCCAACATACCAACCCATTTCTACGGATCCTACTACATATTTAGAGAAGACAACAAAAGCTAAGATCAAAGCCTCCAACATTAGCCAAGAAGAACAGCTCCAACTTATCCCAAGAGAAAAGTCTTCAAGATGCCCAAAACTGTACGGTCTACCTAAAATTCACAAGGCAGGAGTACCATTAAGACCCATTGTGAGTTCAATCGGATCACCATTACAGCAGCTGGCAAGATTCCTGGCTAAACAATTACAGCCTTATGCCGAAGAAGCGAAATCTTACGTCAAGAACGCCAGTCACTTCATCGAACGCATAAGAAACGTAAGAGTGGACCCAGGACACCTGCTGGTGAGCTTCGATGTTGTATCCCTCTTCACAAATATACCAATAGAAGAAGCACTCGACTTAATAGTCCAGAAATACCATCTGAGAAAAGATTTAGTGGACCTGATAAAACACTGCCTCAATAACACATATTTCATCTATAAAGACCAGAGATACAAACAAATAGAAGGAGCACCCATGGGATCACCACTGTCACCAGTAATCGCCAACCTATTTATGGAGGATCTGGAAGAACGAGCGATCAAATCCGCCGAATATAAACCAGAAATGTGGCTACGATACGTCGACGACACCTTCGTTATTTGGACGCACGGCAAAGAAAAACTGAATGGCTTCCTAACACATCTCAACAGTATACATCACAAAATTCAGTTCACCATGGAAATCGAAGAAAATAACAAGTTGCCATTTCTAGACGTATCCATAATCAAAAATAGAACCGGAGGTTTAGGCTACACGGTGTATAGAAAACCCACACACACGGATCGCTACCTGCATGCCGAGTCCCATCACCATCCATCACAACTAAATTCTGTTTTGAAAACTCTAATAACACGATCAGAAAGGCTGACTGACAACGAACACAAAACAGAAGAAATCGAAAAAGTTAAAAAAGCTCTTCAACAAAATGGTTTCTCGGATAACAACATCAAGAGAGCATTAAGACCACGCCACAATAGAGAACGGACCGAAGAAGATAAACCAGTTGCCAAAGCACTCCTTCCATATATAAAAGGAACCACTGACAAAATCAGCAAAGTACTGAAGAAACATAAAATTGAAACTGTCTTCAATACCGACAGGAAAATTGGCAACATTCTTCCATCAGCGAAGACGAAGATTCCACTCGAAGGTCAAGGCGTTTACCAGATTCCCTGTGGCGACT